CCTAGTCGTGAGTTTACCAGCTGCAGTGTACAGGAGCCCTAAGAAAGATGTATATACTTTCCTATTTTCAGGCTGTGCCGGTCCAGTCACATGCTCCTGCTCCCCTCTGTTAGCCAGTGGTGGCTGCAGGGGAGAGGAGGGAGAGCCGACAATGGATGGGCCTTAGGAGCCTATGGGTGACATCACCATTCCGAGGCATTACCAGCTGTTGTAGAGCGTTCTCTTGATTCCCTTGCAACTGGCACTGGCTGACACAGGAGAGATCACGTAACCAGACCGCAGCAGCCTGAAAATAGATAAATATACAAATCTCTCTTACACAGGTTAGTCAGAATAAGTGTTAGAAGGGGAGAGGGAGTATTTTTAAGAGTAGTTGCTACATTAAGCGGAATTTGAACAGCAAGCATTGGAAAACAGGAATCGGTAGGGTTTCCAGACATAACTGGACAAGTTCTGCTGAATTCTGTTTATAAAATAGGACTTACTTTAAGCTTTGGGCCCAAAGTCTGAAACTGTCAGTTTATATAAACATCAGCATCATCAAAGCCACACCACAGATGAAACAGGTGTGCAGACCTAGACTTTACATAACGGAGAATAGACCACACTGCAACCCCTTTTGCAAACTTTGGACTTGCCAGATGCTGGTAAAAATATCCTCTGCATGACTCGGTCTAATGAAGAATATTTTCACAGCTAAGCTACAAACAGGAAAAAAGGAAAGAACGTTAAAAGTGTAACTTTGGCCAGAAATGTTGTTTTTTTTTCAGAATGGAGAAGCATTAGAACTTCTATGAGTCCTGCTGTCATTGGTTGTAAGTGACTGCTCACTTGGCTGTCAATTACAAAGCCTGGCCTACTCACCTCCCTGCTGTCACTGAAAGCCTGTTAATAACTTGGAAAAGGCCCACCTGCATACCTACCTACCTGCTTTCCTATATGTACAGGGTTTGGTGCTCATCTGAGGTCTGATGTTTTTGCATTGGGGCTGATCTGAGGTCAAAGGTGTATTCACTGGGGCTAATCTGAGGTTTGGAGGGCATGCATTGGGGCTGATCAAAGGAAGAGGTTAATGTGGGGTGATCAAAGGGTTAACTGTTTCTTTTTCTCTCTCTCTGTCTTTCTCTCTCTCTCTCTCCTTTGCAGACATAAAAAAAACATAACTGTGTGTAAAAAAAAAATTATTAACTGTTTTCCCGATGCCCTATAGCAGATATACTGTGGCAGGGGTGCGCAAAATTACGTATATATATATACACGTGATGTTGCATTTTTTTCCGGGTAGGGGGTGTGCGTAAGTCTTGTGCACGTCCTACCTGAGCCACTATTCGCGGCCTCGGCTGTCAATCACCAGGTCCCACCCGGTGGTTACTTGCCGGCACTCGATGATCGAGGAGCATTACCAACAGAGGGAGAGAACTGTAAGTAAACAATACAGTTCTCGTCCCTGTCAGCTCTGGCACACTGCTTTGCGTGCCTCTGCATAGCAAAGCCATACAAAGTAGTGTGCTTACAGTGAAGCACACACACAGCTTACAGTAAAACAGCATACAGTTACCCTTTGATTGCCCCACATTAACCCCTTCCTGCCCAGTGCCATTAGTACAGTGTTAGTGCTTTTTATTAGCCCTGATCACTGTATTGGTGTCACTGGGGATGTCAGTGACGCCAAGTCAGTTCCCCCCAGTGTCGTTATGACCACTGCAGTCCCGCTGTAAGTTGCTGACCGCTGCCATTACTAGTAAAAATAAAAAAAAATCCCAATATATACCGCTAGTTATAAACGTAAATCAATTAATTTACACATATTGGGATTTTTTTTTAGCAAAGACATGTAGCAGAATACATTTTAGCCTAAATTTATGACGAAATTAGATTTTTTAAATTTTTTTATTGGACATGTTTTAACAGCAAAAAGTAAAAAATATTGTTTTTTTTTCTCAAAATTGTCAGTCTATTTTTTTTTTTTTTTATAGCTCAAAAAATAAAGCCTGCAGAGGCGATCAAATATCACCAAAAGAAAGCTCTATTCGTGGGAAAAAAAGGACGCAAATTTAAATTGGGTGCAGCATTGCATAACCGTGTAATTGTCACCTAAAGTAACAGTGCCGTAACATAAAAAATGGCCTGGTCAGGAAGGAGGGTAAATCGTCTGGAGGGCAAGTGGTTAATAATAAAGAAAAAAGACCTAGCTGATCTAGATTGGTGCCAGTGTTAGTGTTTGGGTCAAGTAAGGATCAAAGGTCATGGTCAGTATATTTTGGGCAGAATTTAAAAAAAAAAAAATGTTTAATTAGCATCAGTGTCAGTTAAGGTCAGTGTGTGTTTAGGCAGGATAAAAAAAAAAAAAAAAGCAAAATGCACACCATTGTTTCTGGGCTGCACTTGTGTTTAGGCCTTAACATTAGTTTTACCCTAAAGCTACTTTCACACTGATCTGCCGCAAAAACACACAGCAAAAATGCATAGGCGTTTTTGCCACGCTTTCTGAGCGTGACTTGAGGCACTTGTTTTTGAGGCATTTTTCAAGTGTTTTCCATTGATTTCAATGGGAAGAGGCGTTTTTGGGGTATTTTTTTTAACTCACCAAACATGCCCCAAAGATGCTGCAAGCAGTTTTTACACCACGCAAGCGCAAAGTCTCAGTGTGAAAACATACATAGATATACATACATAAAACATACATACATTCACATACATAGGGAAGTGTTTTTCTTGAGCTTCTCAGGTGCTTTTTGCAAAAAAATGCAAAAATGCAAAATGCAAAAACGCTTCAAAAACTCCTCAGTGTAAAAGTAGCCATAGGCAGGAAGGGGTCAATGTTATCACTGTGACAATTGTGCAACAGTCAAAGCCAAAGTTGCATCAAAGTCGCAATGTAAATGGCATGACTTTGGAGTTGCACAAGTGTGAACGGAGCCTTACTGAGTTTTATTACTAAAACCCTTTTATGCACACTCAGAAGCTGGAAGATGTTGAGCAGAATTGATCAAAACTGGACTAGCTGTGCATGACAACCAATCAGCTTCAGCTTATTTATTAAAGGGGTTAGTTCACCGTTACCAAAAAAACTGCCTATGCAGATAAGGGGCGCCTGTAGGTAAAAACAGGCTGTGCAGCTTTGGTCAAAGTTGAATAATTTTCTTGCTATGGGTGAAGGCCATTTTCATACCACATGAAGCCTGACTGGAAAACTTCTAGGATGTTGCTAAGGACATTGCTAAGAGAGGTCTAGCTGTTACTGCTCACCTTCACTTTCACAGGAGTGTGTTCTCAACCGCTGAGCTCAGAGCTACTGCATCAGGGGAAAGAAGATGTGAGGGGGTTTGTATCAGAGAAAGAGGATGTGAGGGGGGTTGTATCAGAGAAAGAGGATGTGAGGGGGTTTGTATCAGAGAAAGAGGATGTGAGGGGGTTGTATCCAAGAAAGAGGATGTGGGGGTTGTATCAGAGAAAGAGGATGTGAGGGGGTTGTATCAGAAAGAGGATGTGAGGGGCTTGTATCCAAGAAAGAGGATTGAGGGGGGTTGTATCAGTGAAAGAGGATTGTGAGGGGGTTTGTATCAGAGAAAGAGGATGTGAGGGGGTTTGTATCAGAGAAAGAGGATGTGAGGGGGCTTGTATCCAAGAAAGAGGATGTGAGGGGGTTTGTATCAGAGAAAGAGATGTGAGGGGGTTTGTATCCAAGAAAGAGGATGTGAGGGGGTTGTATCAGAAAGAGGATGTGAGGGGGTTTGTATCAGAGAAAGAGAATGTGAGGGGGTTTGTATCGAGAAAGAGAATGTGAGGGGGGTTGTATCAGTGAAGGGCAATGTGAGGGGGGTTGTATCAGAGAAAGAGGATGTGAGGGGGTTTGTATCAGAGAAAGAGAATGTGAGGGGGGTTGTAACCGAGAAAGAGGATGTGAGGGGGGTTGTATCCGAGAAAGAGGATGTGAGGGGGGGTTGTATCCGAGAAAGAGGATTTGAGGGGGTTTGTATCATAGAAAGAGAAAGTGAGGGGGTTTGTATCAGAGAAAGAGCTCACTCTGGTGATGGTGGAGGTGAGCAGTAACAGCTAGGCCTCACTTAGCAACATCCTAGAAACATTCCTGTCACACTTCATGAGGTACATAAATGGCCATCACCTACAGCAAGGACATTATTCAAGTTGGGTCAAAGCAGCAGTTTGTTGTTATTTAGACGTCCCTTGGCAGAGTTTTTTTTATATAAAGGTAAACTGTTCCTTTAAGCTTCGAAAAGAAAAACTAGAAGATGATTGGCTGCCATGCACAGCTGCTCCAGTTTTGATCGATCCCCCCAGGGTATTAACTATCAGGGCTAAGGTGACATCTCAGACATGACTGACTCTGAAGCTTAGTAATAGGCAATGGCACATACAAATCTTTTCTATTCACAATGCTAACATTGAATACTGAGAACATTGCATATGGCCCTCAGGACAGGTTCTCTTCAGTCTCTGCAGCCCATGGCAGACCATGTAGCTCTGACACAACACATGCCTGAGGGAGCTCCCAGCTGCTGCCAAATCTGCATACACAATACCCAGCCCCGCCCACCAACACAAACCACCAACCACAGCGATTTACGCCCACCTCACGCCCTCGGCTGCCTATTATCGGACATCTTTTTTTGGGGAAGAGAACTCCATCTCGCTCATATCGAAAAGGAACGCCATATTAAACGACAGAGTCATTTATAACTTCACTACCGCGAGAAAAACGTCTTACTAACAAAACCATCACTTTGTAAGACTAAGCAATCGAACAGCCAATACAACTTTTAGTCGCCTGTTTAATTATTAGATTGACTCTGCCTAGTTTTCCGTCGAGGGCTGTCGACATTTTCTAGAACATTCTCTGGCATTGTGAGAACCATATCTGCCTTTGACTTTACCTCAACAAAGATGGCGATTGGGGGATTCCGTTAAGGCCTTGCGTGAGTGACGATTTAGCGCGGGTCATGTGAGCCCACGCCTGGTCGACGTGCTGTGACTGGGTGATGCCGTCCCTTCGCCTGTGTTCAGGGAAGGGGAAGATGGAGGCGGTTGTGCTTCTGGTGTGGCGGAGGGACCCGGAGAATGGCCGGTTGTGCCAGGCGGAGCTGCCACAGGGATCCACCGTGAGGGAGCTCCTTCCCTCCAGCGGCCCGGTGAGTGTCTTCATATGACAGCGGGGGCCCAGGGCAGGTTATCCACAAGGAGCAGACTGGCACTAACCTTCCCTCAGTAGTATAGTTGTATTACCTATGGATCCTGCCAGGAAGGCTGTTAATTTTCCACTTCCTTTAAAAGGGTGACAACTCTTCCTTCCACAGTGAAATGACACAGCAGAGTTGTCACCCTGTGGACAGGATACTCTTGCATGGATGTGGAGTTTTAACCACTTTCCCTGTCACACCTTTTCTTGCCCTATTATTATTATACAGTATTTATAAAGCACCAATAGTTCACTCAGCGCTGTACATTACAATCAGCGCTGTACATGGACCAGAGCAGTTTTTACAACTCTGCGATCGACTTGTAACTGCTGAGCTCTAAAAAAAAAAAAAAAAACAGACACTCGCCCATCCCTCCATCCAGCGATGTGCTCACTGCAGCCAGGTTCACCGGCCGTCCTCTCTTTCCGCCATCTTAAGTGTGGGCAGCCGGCTGGGCTGTGACAGCTGTGAAGCTGGGTTCCTACTGTGCATTGTGAATGGGCCTGCAGTCTTCTGGGATCTATGTGTCCTAGAAGACTGCAAGGGGGCGAGGAGATCTTCTGCGGAGTGAGTGGGTACCTGTCAAAATGGGTAACCGCTCCAACTGCAACTACCCCCCCCCCCCCCCAAAGATGTCAATCCTTAACGGGGAGCAAGGGACGAGGGCTTAAAGCGGAACTTCTCATTTTGGGTGGAGCTCTGCTTTAACCACCTTCAGACCGCCTGCCTGCAATGTACTGTAGGGAGGTGGCCTCTGTGGTACAAAACAATGTATCTGTACACCTCTCCCCTACTTCTGGGTTTCGGGAGCGTGCATGCACCAACCTCCCCTCCTGGGCGGCACCCCTGTGATTGTACACAGCGGGAGCCTGTCAGCAAGTCCTGGCCAAGTGATTCATGGCTTGGACCTGCTTTTCGGCTATGTCCTATCACAGCCCAGAGCTCTGTGTTGACAGGCAACACAGAGCTCTGTACAGAAGTAGTAATAATGCATTTGAAACTTTAGAGATCTTAGTAAAATCAGCACACATTAAGGAAACATTTAACCCCTTGATCACCCTACATGTTAACCCCTTCCCAGCCAGTGCCATTAGTACAGTGTGGCCGTGTACAGTATTATCATTGGTGATATCAGTCAGATCGCAATCCCATTATAAGTCTCTGATCACTGCCACTAGTAGTATTAAAAAAAAATAAAATAAATACAAACTTTTCACACAAGCCAATCATAATACACTTATTAGTCTCTTTTTTTTCGTTAACCAAAGACATGTAGCAGAATACATTTTGGCCAAAAGTTTTGAAGAAATTAGATTTGTAAACATTTTTCCATTGGAGATGTTTTATAGCAGAAAGTAAAAAATGTTTTGGGGGAATTTAAAAAAAAAAAATTTTTTTTTAAATCTCAAAAAAATCAGCGGAGATCAAATACCACCAAAAGCAAATTCTGTTTGTGTGGAAAAAAAAAATGATATAACTTTCGTTTGGGTACAGCGTTGCATGACTGCATAATTATCAGTTAAAGTAGCGCAGTGCAGTATAGCATTCAATGGCCTGGTCACAAAGAGGGTAAAATCCTCCAGAGCTCCAGTGGTTAAAGTAGAACAAAAGTAAACACTCTTTATTTTGGATATAGTAAGGGAGGGTTATAACCCCTGTCTAGTTTTTTTTGCACCGTGTCCCATTGGGGAGATTTTCTGTGACCTGTCCAATAGCCAAAACAGGAAGGGAAAGGAAATCCCTCCAAAGTGAGGGAGTCTCTGGTTGTCACCAGGTTTGCCAGAACTAGTATACCCATTGGAAGATTTCCCACTATTCCTGTTCTGGGGAAAACACCAAATTTGGGATTTTTTAAAATTACAATCTCTATCATTCAGTCGTATCCGACCCTTGGCGATTGCATGGGCTGTCACTTGTAAGCTACTTTTTCCATGAATTGTCTTCGCAATTATTTTACAGGGTAGGTTGCCAAATCTTTCCCCAACCCCTACCATGCAGGAGATCCTGCATAGCCAGGGATGAAACTAGGACAATTTGGACAGGAACCAATTAACCTACCAGCATATCTTTGGAGTGTCGGAGGAAACCAGAGTACCCGGAGGAAACCCACGCAAGCACAGGGAGAACATGCAAACTCCATGCAGGTGGCGCCATGGTTGGGAATTGAACCCATGAGCCATTTACTGCACGGCAGACGTGCTAACCACTAAGCCACTGTGCCACCCTTAATTACAATAAACAGGACAAATAGAGAGGTTGAATCTCCTTTATGGGGACACAGACAGCAATAAAAACCTGACAGATGTTCTAAAGGAAGTAGAGCGATTTTCAAAGTCGCGTTCAGTGTGAACCAGGGTAATGCCCTCACATATGTTGGATGACCAATGTTTCTGTGTTGAGAGAGCTCTCAAAGTGGGATTAAGCTCCCTTGGTTGAATCTTGCCTATAGGTACGGTATGTATCTCCTAAATGTGCACTTTTTAGGAGATATTGACTCTGGCAGCAGCAGGTGACATCACCGGCGCATGAACTCTGAAGGAACAGCATACCAGGCCGTACTTTCAGAGCCCTGTGCCTTAAACCGTATCTCCCGTGCCATGGCCATTCATACCGCCAAAGCCTGCCAACCAGGTAGGAAGACTGGGTGAAGACAGTGGTGATAGCGTGCCGCTGGAGTTCATCGTTTTCAGTCAACTCTGTCATAATGTGCTAGCGTGTGGTGCACACCATACTAGCACATTACTGCCCGGGACCTTTTTTTTTTTTTTTACTATCGCTTTAACCCAATACAGTCCTGGCCAAACACACAGCCTTTAGGATAGAGAGTGGAGGACACACCAGTTCAGATGTGTCTGCAGACACAGAGCTCAAATTTATGCCTTTGTAATTCCCTTCATTCTTACCCTCTCAGACACATAACAGGTTGTGTAGGGAGGGGCATAGCAGCTGGGCCAGTACAAAAAGTAATCGGCTTTCTCATTTTCTGAGCGTTTCTATGGTGTACAAGGACAGAGGGGGCTGTTTTTAGAGGGATGACACTTTGTGGAGCAAAGATTTTCTAGCATGTTTAAACACAAGTAAGCAAAACAATGTTAATGGTAAAGAAAATGCAGCAAATTATTTGTTAAAGTGCTTGATTTTTATGTGCTTTTGACAGCATTTTAGGAGTTGGCAACAGGGTCCCTCTTAAGAAGTATTTGGTGTAACTTGATGGTGGTTTGACATCTTTTCAGGGAATATCTTGCTGGGACTTTTATGTGACCTGTAATGGGCGACGACTTAGCAGAGATGACGCTGTGCAGAATGGATACACTTACAGTGTGGAGCCGCGACTCTGTGGAGGAAAAGGAGGTATGTTTGTGAAGTTTTTCTAAATCATAGAAGTTATTGGCAAATCTTATCCACTCTGTCAGGAAAAATCATCAAATCTTAACCCCTTATTGCTGGCTCGTCATGAGATTATAACACCACAGGTGTTACATGGGCTTCCCGATAATGTGATCACTGTGATTGGCTGTCACAGTGATTATGTGGATCGGGAGCCAGTCCTATCGGCTTCTGATCTTCGCTGTGTGGCTGGGAATTGTCTGTGACAGTGTGGTCACTGTGCTGTGGGCATGAGCGAGAACATGCTCCCAGCACGGAACATGGACACGTGGCGGAACAGAATAAGGCCCACTTCCAGGCTGCCACATATATGTGTATGACTGGCACTAAGGGGTTAATCTCACATATCCAAACACCCTACATCTAGTATATAATGAAGGTTGTATTGTATGTCTTAATTGGAGATAAAGGTCATAATGCAAATACTGAACAGTCAGGTTATTTATTACTGCCCGCTACTGGCTAGAGAAGTGAAAGCAGAGCTTCAGACAGTCCATTAACCTCCCTGGCGGTATTCCCGAGTGTAGCTCGGGGTAAAGTTTCAGTACCACAAGCGCTAACCCCGAGCTACACTCGGGCTTACCATGCGGTGCTGCTCCGGGATCCCTCAACCACTTACCTTGTCCTGCGTTCCCACGTTGTCCCTCCTGCAGTGTCCCCGGCAATGTAATCCGGCGGATGCCGGCATCTGTCATCTGGGTTCCGTCCCCTGCGACGTCGGGATGTACAGGGGACGGAAGAGCAGGAAATTTGAAAATGACAAAAAGTGACATTCACTAAATACACTAAAATCACATAGTATAACGTTACTGTCTCAAACCATTTCACATACATTTTGTCCCGAGTGCTTTGTCCTGTGCCCTGCCTGCATTTTGTCTGTTCTTTCTGCCTGGAAACTGAGAAAAGTCCATGGCGTCCAAAAAGCGTCCCTTTAGGTCAAAAGCGGTTTTAGACCAGCTAGAGAACAGCGATAGTAAATCAGAACCACTTGCAGAATTGAGTGATGATTCGTGGGGAAATTTGTCATCAGACACTGAAAACGATTTTGCGACTTTGCTCAGTGATGTGCGAACTTGGCACTATATTTCAAAATTCTGTGTTTTTGGTTTGATTATATTATTGAATTAAATTTATTATTATGTTATTTTTTATGATTATTTATTAAATTATAATTTTTGATTTTGTGTTTCAAATTTTATCCTACCCGGGATGTTTACTAGACTCTTGTTCGGACAGATTTCAGTGAGTTATTCCTAAAAATTACAGGTCTACAATAAAAAATACATATTTCCATGCAAAAAAATTTACCGCTTTGAGCACAGAAATATGGACATAATCAGACCGCTAGGGAGGTTAAAAGCATAGTTTAAATGTATGTTTACTGTTCAACATGCCTATAGCATACTTTGTAATTCTGTGTAATTTACACACATCTGCTACACTGCACAGCAAGGTAGGCAACAGGCAACATATTACTTATGCCAGTTTTGCATGTGATTATTATTTTTTTATTATTATAATACAAAATGTATATAGTGCCAACAATTTGCACAGTGCTTTACAAAATTAAGGGAAACAGTACAGTTACAATGCAGTTCAGTATAGGAGGGTTCAGAGGGCCTTGCTAGGTACCATTTACAATCTAATGAGAGCGGTAAGTGATACAAAAGGTAATAACTGTGGGGGTATGAGTTAATGGAGAAAGTAAAATTCAGTTAAGTAGAGATCGGATAGGCTTCCCAGAGGAGATGAGTTTTCAGGGATCCCCTGATGGCAGATAGAGTAGGAGATTGATGAATTGGGGTAGGGAGTTCAAGAAAATAGGAGAAGCTCTGGGGAAATCCTAGACACAAGCATGGGAGTTGGTGACGAGCGAGGAAGAGGTCTTGGGAGGTGCATAGAGGATAGTTTTGGTGATATTTTGAGATGAGGTTGGTGATTTAGCTTGGAGCAGACTTGTGGATGGCTTTGTATAATATACTAGGTATTTAAATTTTATTTGTTGGGTGAACGGAAGCCAGTGCATGGAATAGCAGAGAGGAGTGGCAGACACTGAACCATTGGTAAGGTGGATGATTCCTGCAGAGCATTCATGATAGACTAAAGGGGGATAGCCTGTGTGGAGGTAGGTCCAATGAGGAGGGAGTTGCAATAGTCGAGGTGAGAGATAACGGAGTGAATAAGAAGCTTTGTGGTGTAATTTGTTAGGAAGGGGTGAATTTTGGAATTGTTAGATAAAGGTGGCAAGATTTGGACAGCAAATGGATGTGGGACACAAAGGGTGTAGGCAGAGGGAGTGTATGTAGAGAATAGAATAAACCTGAGAACAGAGGGTTGGATGTCCCCTAAGGAAGAGGGGATAGTTGTAGGGGACACTGCAGAGGGAGGTTAAGTTGTGTGTTTTTTTTTTTTTTTTTTTTTTTTTGAGGAGGAGGAGCCAGTGGTCCATTGTATTGAATACAGATGAAAATTCAGTATCCGAGTCAGAGTACAGAGTAGTGACCATTAATTTTGTCAGTTAAATCAGAGGTGAGTTTTAAGAGGGCGGTTTCTGTAGAGTCTTGCAAATTCCAAATTTAAAGGGACAAGAAGGTTAACAGTGAGGTGGAAGCTCAGATGCTTGTAGACTAGCAATTTTGTCACTTCCAGGTTCAAAGCTAGATGTCATTCCATGGCAACACTGGCTGGGAAAGAAACTGATCAAGCATGAGCTGTGGTTAATCAGCTTCACTAGGGTCTATAAGTGACACTCGAGATCTGATAGTCCCCTGTGCTCTCCCTAAAAAGGACCTGTCATTTCTACTATGCTATCACTTAGGGGGCTATTAGTCCTCCCTATGTGAGAGCAATAAAGTGAAAGTGTATCTAAAAGCATTTTTTTTTTTTTTTTTTTTTTTGATAGAGCGGAGAGGGATTAAAACCCTTTTCAGTTTTTTATTGCTGTCTCTTTAGGGAGACTCCTACGGTCTATTTGTCTTCTATTTGTCACCAAGAATGAAAGTTAAAGAAAATCCCAAACTTTAGGTTGTTACCAGGACAGCGATGGAGGGGAAATTCTTCAATGGGGACACCAATTCTAGTGATCCTGGTAACAACCAGGGATTCCCTTACTTTGGAGAGATTCTCTCACTTCCTGTTTGGCTCTGGGACAGGAAGTGAAGGGAAATCTCCTCATTGGGACACAGATGGCAAAATAGATCACTGAAAAATCCCAGTTTCCTAGGATTGCATAAATTGTGATTTTATGTAATCTCATAGGTGGGCTTTAAAGCATTGCCTTTGAACAATTTTGGGGTACCAAAGTTTGTTGCTGTTTCACAGGCATGTGCAGTTTTGATGTTGAGTACTTTTATATACAATCCACAACCTCATCTTTTATAGGTTTATTTTTTTGTCTACTGAAAATATGGGTTTGAAAAATATGTGCACTAATATTGTGTGACAAAATGAAAATACCACCATTTTATTCTCCAGGGTCTCTGCTTTCAGAAAATGAATAAATGGTAGTATATTGGTTAGAGACAAAAATGGAGAAATGTGCATGTATTGCAGAGGTGTACTGCATTTGTTTTGTTGTATTCCGAGCGAGAATTTGAGAAGAGGGAAATAATTAGTGTATACTTTATTTGTAGGTTTTGGTTCCATGCTTAGGGCACTGGGGGCTCAAATTGAGAAGACTACAAATAGAGAGGCCTGTCGTGATCTCAGTGGAAGGCGACTTAGAGATGTTAATCATGAAAAAGCGTAAGTCACAAATTCTTGCTGGGTATAATATAAATGTGTTGTAAACTGACTGAAAAAAAAAATCAGTATTTTGTTGACCTTTTTTGGATTACACAGTACATTCAAGCCCTATAATAAGATGTTTATTTCAGTACCCACAAATTGCCAAAGGAAGGTCTGCATTGCAGCTCAGCTTTTTATTGCTCATGCAATGCAAAATGAATCTCTTGTGCGTGAGAGTGCTTCTGTGTATATAGAGCAGTTCAAGGAGTACTGAATTAACCATGATATGTTGAAGGAAATAGGGTCATTATGGCAGCCAGTCAACTAGAATTTTCAGAACGAATTTAGCCATGGCAGCATTACCCACCTACCTTTTACATTCACTTGCCTGGAGTAATAGGAAATCCTTGTATAAGCTACAGGTTACTGGGTTCTTGGCTTATACAGGATTATTGATGCTGCATATGACAGCACTGATTGATTTCTGTCCATGCTGTAGTGTTTTTTTTGTTTTGTTTTTTCCCCCAGAACTGTCACAGTTCAATGGTGGCTCATTGGCTTCAGTTGCTTCTGAGGACTTAATATAATGTTAAACCCTATTAAACCTAATTTTTTTTTTTTTTTTTTTTTTTCTAAGCACTTTCAGCAGCTGTTTTAATTACTTACCTGTTATGCCACTTTTAATCCTTTCCTATGTTCCATTTTAAGATGGTGCTATGACTTCGGCCTCAGGTTTCCTCTTTCAGATTGGCTCCTTTCTCTTGCAGCATCTTATGGAGCCATTCTTGCATGCAGGAGTTAGACTTGTGTATCCCTACACTGTGTGTAACAATAGAAATACACAGCCTAAGATGGCTCCTCTGAAGGATAGTATGAGGAGAACTTTCCCCGTACTATCTGTCAGATTTTAAAACAATGACGCCATGCGGGGCACTGCCCACACAACTGCGTCACTTATTCAGTGTTCTGTGAGTGAGTACCTATAAGTCCCGGCAGCCTTAGCGGCTGTGGGCTTGCAGTTTTCAGTGAACTACCACAGTGCTGTGGTGCGCCGTGGTAGTTCATTGAAGCTTCCTGACAGTATATCTGCTTGACCGTACATCCCATATGGCAAGCAGATATTCTGACAGATCTGCAGGAGACCTGCATGGCATCAGCAATCTACTGATCACTGGTGCAATGCTTTCTAAATTGTAATAACAAAGTGCAGCGCTGAGAAATGAGTGTAAAAAGCAAATAGTCCGTGGTTATTAGCTAATATAAATATATAGTCCCAAGAAAAAGCTGATGAAGACCAGGAAGCAATGGAAAGAGTGCACACTCACCGGACGCGCATGGAAAATGCGCATAAATGAATAACTCCTGGAATCCTAGAGTAGATGGAGAGGGTGAATTCCAATATGTGGATCAGTCAGCCTGGGAAGATATATCAGAGATCCGGAGGTCCCCTTAAGGTAGGTATGATTATCAGCCGGACTCCAAAAGCTCCGTCCCTCTGGTGGTGATAGGTGAGTACTACAGGGATCCTGCAAATGGATTTAGCTCCAATGGGAACCAAGAAACAGGTGCCCATAGTGTAGTATTTTAAAATATGTTTATTCAATGTAACTCAAATAACAGGCAGGGTAGTAAGGCTGTGTACAGTACATAAATAAAGCAGAGTACGCAGCAATGGTACTGACCCTGAGTTAAAATGGCCGCGGGGCTGTCTCGTGGCTCCGGGCAGAAGATGACGTCATGCTCTGTCGGTTCCTCCTAAGGCCTTTTGTGCCCAAGCACATCATCAGAGGGGATACCAACCAGAGCATGACAGACGTCCATCTGATTTATTCTGAATCGCGGCATTCGCGCATGCGCAGTGCGGCGCCGCCATTTTGCCGAAGTCTATGGAGTGCGCATGCGCGACTCCATAGACGCCATTTTGCCATAGGTTAAAAAGCATATGCAGTTCCTGATAAAAACGGTTGTTACTAACATTAAGTGGTACAACCAAAACCTTATAAAATTACATTAGGGGTCAAATAGAGATGAGTATTACAAACTAATACTCAATATAATAGATGGGTAAAGTATCAGACCAAAAAAATTCTATTTAATATCCAAATAATAATCAGGATTATTATACTCTGCAATACGGCAAAAGGGCACAAGGGGGTGCTAACTCCAATACGGAATAAAGCACTAATAATGAAATATACTACAGAACGGAACAACCTATTATATAGTTATAAAAAATATATACATGATGTTTCATAATATATAATAAAACATGTACCAATATCAGGATATGTAATACAATTTCCTAAAAAATCGTGATGAGACTCAATATAAAATCAATAAAAGATAAAAAAATTTATAATAAAATAAAATAGTATAATAGTATAAAAGAGACAAAAGAAAAAATACCAGGAATCATGGGGTATTAAAGAACCTAATAGGGCGAAAGATGTGTAGCTTAATAGTAGTCAATTGTTTGCAATAAAGCAGTTGACATCAATTTCTATATTGTGTCCTAGTGGGTATAAAGTACCCAGTTCATATACCCACTTAGTTTCTGCTTGTGATACTGCACGCATTTTGTTCATGCCTCTCCAGTGTGGAGTGATGATATCAATTGCCGTAAACTTAAGCGAGGTGGGATCTTGATTGTGATAGATCCTATAATGATTTGATAAGGCATGGTCCTTGTATCCTTTCTTAATGTTGGATACATGCTCGCGTAAACGATCACGTAATCTCCTAGTGGTGCGACCCACATACTGTTTTAAACAAGGGCATTGTAGTAAGTACACTATGTACCTACTATTACAAGAAATAAAATGCCTTATGGTATATGTTTTACCTGTAACATGTGAATTAAATGTTTTACCCTGCGTTTCCTGGTATTACCACATTTACAAATAACGCACCTGTTACATGGATGAAAACCCGTTAGGTCAGCAAATAATTTTACATTTTTAGGGGGGTCAATGACATTAGATGCCAGACTGTGTCTCATAGAGGACGCTCTCCTAAACACAATTTCTGGTTTGTCTGGCAGAATATTACTCAAAATTGGATCAGTTTTAAGAATATCCCAATTCTTTTTTATTATTCTGCTAATAGATCTATGCTGGATTGAAAATGTTGTAACGAATGGGCAAACTTTAGCTTGTATAGGTCTAGTACTATTCTGTAGCATTGCATTCCTATCAAAGTTAGCTACATTGTTAAGAGTGTTTACCAGAGTATTATCGTCATATCCTTTTTCAAGGAATCGGTTTTTCAGAATATTGGCCTGAGAATGGTATACCTCTAGATCTGTACAATTTCTCCTAATCCTCATGAATTGACTTTTAGGTATATTAGCCAACCAGTTAGGGTGGTGACAACTGTTGGTAGGGATATAGCTGTTTCGATCCGTATTCTTAAAGAAAGATTTGGTTATAATCCTTCCGTCAATGTTCATGAGTGTTAAATCTAGAAAATGTATCTCTTGTTTACTGTATGAGTAATGATAATCACATACTAAATAAGAAAGAGAAGGCTTTTTTTGATTCCTGCTGCCCCTAAACTACCCATTTTATACATATGGCCTAAAATTCACAAAGACCCCAATAAACCACCAGGTCGCCCCATAATTAGTGGAATTGGGTCTTTGTGCTCAAAAATTGGAGAATACATTGATTTCTTTTTGCAGCCTTTGGTTATACAGACACCGTCTTACTTAAAGGACACCAAGCAAGTATTGAACCTTATCAACAATGTTAATATCTCCCCAGACACATTTTTGGTTACAGCGGATGTAACTTCACTGTATACTAATATTAACCACTGTGATGGAATGGAGGCCGCTGATTTTTATTTGACACATTACAGCACTGTACCCATTGTACAGAAAGATTTCATTTTGCGGTTACTGGATTTTGCCATGATGAAAAACTATTTCTGGTTCAATAAGACCCACTATCTGCAGATTAAGGGAGTGGCCATGGGGGCAAAGTTTGCCCCCAGTCTTGCTAACCTGTTATGTCAAGGTGGGAGGAAGATTTTATATATGCTAGAGATTGGCCGGAATTGACTATTTATAAAAGATATATAGATGATATTGTGTTGGTATGGAATGGTAATGAGGAATCCTTAATTAACTTTTTTGGGACCCTGAACAACAACAAACTAAATATTCACCTCACCTACTCATACAGTAAACAAGAGAAATTTTCTAGATTTAACACTCATGAACATTGACGGAAGGATTATAACCAAATCTTTCTTTAAGAATACGGATCGAAACAGCTATATCCCTACCAACAGTTGTCACCACCCTAACTGGTTGGCTAATATACCTAAAAGTCAATTCATGAGGATTAGGAGAAATTGTACAGATCTAGAGGTATACCATTCTCAGGCCAATATTCTGAAAAACCGATTCCTTGAAAAAGGATATGACGATAATACTCTGGTAAACACTCTTAACAATGTAGCTAACTTTGATAGGAATGCAATGCTACAGAATAGTACTAGACCTATACAAGCTAAAGTTTGCCCATTCGTTACAACATTTTCAATCCAGCATAGATCTATTAGCAGAATAATAAAAAAGAATTGGGATATTCTTAAAACTGATCCAATTTTGAGTAATATTCTGCCAGACAAACCAGAAATTGTGTTTAGGAGAGCGTCCTCTATGAGACACAGTCTGGCATCTAATGTCATTGACCCCCTAAAAATGTAAAATTATTTGCTGACCTAACGGGTTTTCATCCATGTAACAGGTGCGTTATTTGTAAATGTGGTAATACCAGGAAACGCAGGGTAAATACATTTAATTCACATGTTACAGGTAAAACATATACCATAAGGCATTTTATTTCTTGTAATAGTAGGTACATAGTGTACTTACTACAATGCCCTTGTTTAAAACAGTATGTGGGTCGCACCACTAGGAGATTACGTGATCGTTTACGCGAGCATGTATCCAACATTAAGAAAGGATACAAGGACCATGCCTTATCAAATCATTATAGGATCTATCACAATCAAGATCCCACCTCGCTTAAGTTTACGGCGATTGATATCATCACTCCACACTGGAGAGGCATGAACAAAATGCGTGCAGTATCACAAGCAGAAACTAAGTGGGTATATGAACTGGGTACTTTATACCCACTAGGACACAATATAGAAATTGATGTCAACTGCTTTATTGCAAACAATTGACTACTATTAAGCTACACATCTTTCGCCCTATTAGGTTCTTTAATACCCCATGATTCCTGGTATTTTTTCTTTTGTCTCTTTTATACTATTATACTATTTTATTTTATTATAAATTTTTTATCTTTTATTGATTTTATATTGAGTCTCATCACGATTTTTTAGGAAATTGTATTACATATCCTGATATTGGTACATGTTTTATTATATATTATGAAACATCATGTATATATTTTTTATAACTATATAATAGGTTGTTCCGTTCTGTAGTATATTTCATTATTAGTGCTTTATTCCGTATTGGAGTTAGCACCCCCTTGTGCCCTTTTGCCGTATTGCAGAGTATAATAATCCTGATTATTATTTGGATATTAAATAGAATTTTTTGGGTCTGATACTTTACCCATCTATTATATTGAGTATTAGTTTGTAATACTCATCTCTATTTGACCCCTAATGTAATTTTATAAGGTTTTGGTTGTACCACTTAATGTTAGTAACAACCGTTTTTATCAGGAACTGCATATGCTTTTTAACCTATGGCAAAATGGCGTCTATGGAGTCGCGCATGCGCACTCCATAGACTTCGGCAAAATGGCGGCGCCGCACTGCGCATGCGCGAATGCCGCGATTCAGAATAAATCAGATGGACGTCTGTCATGCTCTGGTTGGTATCCCCTCTGATGATGTGCTTGGGCACAAAAGGCCTTAGGAGGAACCGACAGAGCATGACGTCATCTTCTGCCCGGAGCCACGAGACAGCCCCGCGGCCATTTTAACTCAGGGTCAGTACCATTGCTGCGTACTCTGCTTTATTTATGTACTGTACACAGCCTTACTACCCTGCCTGTTATTTGAGTTACATTGAATAAACATATTTTAAAATACTACACTATGGGCACCTGTTTCTTGGTTCCCATTGGGAGCTAAATCCATTTGCAGGATCCCTGTAGTACTCACCTATCACCACCAGAGGGACGGAGCTTTTGGAGTCTGGCTGATAATCATACCTACCTTAAGGGGACCTCCGGATCTCTGATATATCTTCCCAGGCTGACTGATCCACATATTGGAATTCACCCTCTCCATCTACTCTAGGATTCCAGGAGTTATTCATTTATGCGCATTTTCCATGCGCGTCCGGTGAGTGCGCACTCTTTCCATTGCTTCCTGGTCTTCATCAGCTTTTTCTTGGGACTATATATTTATATTAGCTAATAACCACGGACTATTTGCTTTTTACACTCATTTCTCAGCGCTGCACTTTGTTATTACTATTCTGTTGTTTACGGGTACACTGTGATTACCTCTAGTGCTAGCTGCTTGGTTAGGAGCGCTCACTTTATACCATCCTAATGCTTTCTAAATTGTCCACTGTTAATTTCTTCCTATAAAGACCAGAAGTTCAGGGAAGCAGCACTGATAGAGCCAGCAGCAGCATTGAAAGTTGTGAACTGCAAGTGCTGGGATGGAAATTGTAACATTGTTTACTGGGGAATACTTATTTTATTGTTCCTAGTGTGCTAACTAAAATTGCTGAGGGTTCAGTACTACTTTCAATCTCTGCTTGCATATTTGTTCTGGGTCAGTGATTCTGGGTATTAAAGTGAGAAGCTCAGCATGACTATCAGGCAACTTCTGTTTACAAAAGAAGAGGTCCATAGGTTTTTAGCATACAAAACGCATACATCATGCTTTGAGATATACCTGGCAAGAATATCCAGAGACACTAGATCTTATCAAACTTGTGAACAGAACCCTAGAGTCCTGTGAATGCATCATTATGGTTTTCAGAAAGCTGGATATGTTCTAGAATATGCTATAGGATCCATTTCAATCAATGGCATAAATTACAGATTTGCAGGCAGTTACTGCTGTGCAGTACCCGAAAAGCTCGGGGCAACATCGTATACAGTTAGGGTCAGAGCGTAGTCTCCACCTGCATGAGATTAATATTGAGCTCTGCACTCACTTTTACAGCAGTTGTATTAGTCGGGTCACAATCCTGCGCAATGTCCTTTTTGTCTGTCAGTGGACCATGTCAAGTGTGCTTATGGGCATTAGATGACGTTTTCCAGGATACCGTATATTCCGTCATAACCTTTGATACTGTGACACGGCAAATAAATTGACTTCAGATGCACCAACAGTTTGCATTTTTTTGAAGCTCAGTAAGCTCTGACATGACCCCATATTACTAGCAGTGCACGCAGTGAATGATGAAAGTGAGACTTCCCACATGTTAGCTAGGTGTCTCATCACACAGTGGAAGCAAAAGAATGTTACATCACTTTTGCTTTCAACGTGAAACATGTTGTCACTTTCAAATTGCAAATCATGTAGTGCTTCCATTTTTTTTGTCTAACCCCTGTTTGTCCTGTGGAGACTATACAGTTGTATGCAGTTACTCAAGGCAAAGAATGAGAAAGTAGGGACTGTCTCTCTAGATGCCAAGTTTTTAGAAGTCCTCTTTTTTTTTGGTCTTTTCTCAATAGCATGGCTGAATGGATCAAGAAACAAGCAGAGCGTGAAGCAGAGAAGGAACAGAGGCGCCTGGAAAGACTAAAACGTAAGCTTGAAGAGCCAAAACACTACTTCACTGACCCAGAGTATCACCAACAGCGCAGTGACATGTCTGAGAGGCTGGAGGACTCTGTCATCAAAGGTGAGTGTTTTAGTGGCTGCTTTCTGGAAAGTACAAACACCTCCTTAATAATTAAAAAAAAAAAAAAGAAAATGTATACTGTTTACAGGGGTGTGGAACTACTTGTCCAAGGGACTTAATCAAGGTCCCAATCTACTTGTCCCTTATGACAATCTACTTGCCCTGATAAAAAAACAAAAATAATTCGCTGAAAATTTCTTAGAACTCCCAAACATTTTTTTAACGCAGAAGCCCTAAAGAATTGGTGGGTTTTGCTAAATTTTTTTTAAGTCAAACGGCATTTGCACAGCCAGGGGCGGACTGACAACTCATGGGGCCCCCGAGCAATAGGGGACCATGGGGCCCCTGTGTCCTTGCACAAACTCAAAAAAGCCTATGAAAAAGGTACCAGCGGCATCTCATGGGGCCCCCTACAGACCCCGGGCCCTTGGGCAGTGTCAGAGTTTCCAAATGGTCAGTCTGCCCCTGTGCACTGTCATTTTAACGCAAAATAATACAATACATAATTTGGTAAAATATAAAAGATGTTAGGCCAAGTAAATAGATACCAAACATGTCATGCTTTAAAATTGCCCATGCAATAGCAACAAATGGTGTAAATTTTACTATCCATAGGTGATGCTTTAACCACTAGCTTAAGGACACTTATACCCCCTTCCTACCCAGGCCAAATTCCAGCTTTCAGCGCTGTCACACTTTGAATGACAATTGTGCGGTCATGCAACACTGTACCCATATGAAATTTTTATAATTTTTTTGTGACAGAGCTTTATTTTGGTGGTATTTAATCACCTCTGGGTTTTTCATTTTTTCTTAAACCAAAAACCACTGAAAATTTTGGAAAAAAGTTTTTTTCTTAGTTTTTGTTATAAAATTTTGTAAAGTGATTTTTCTCCACTGATGTGCGCTAATGAGGCTGTAGTGATGGGCACTGATAGGCTGCACTGATGAGGAGGCACTGGTAGGTGGCACTGAGGGGCATTGACAGGCATCACTGATGGGCACTGAAAGGCAGCACTCATATATGGCACTGATAGGTGGCACTGATGCACACTGATAGGCGGCACTGATGCGTGACACTGAAAGGCAGCTCAGATGGGCACTGGCAGGTGGCACTGCTGGAGCTACACTGATCATCAGGGCACACTAATCATTAGTGCTCTGATGATCAGTGTAGATGTCCCCTCTGAGGAATGCCAATTACTGGCTCTCCTCTCAAGCTGTCAGCGTGACAGCTCGTGAGGAGAGAAATGCAGATAACCGGCATTTCCCTGTTTACATGTGATCAGCTGTGATTGAACACAGCTGATCACATGACCGAGCAGACATCTTCGGTTCTTTCCCTGGATCGGTAATCAGCTGTGTCCAAGGGACACAGCGCACCACCGATCGCTGCTCGCTCCTGGAGCCGTTCATGCGCGGTGAGAATGGGAGGACATCATATGGCGTCCTCCCAGAACGAGAGAACCGCCTTGTGCCTGTCATTGTACTATATGGCGGGCGGGAGGCGGTTAAAAGCTTTTACAGGTTACCACTTTAGCTTTACGCAGGAGGTCTGGTGCTAGAATTACTGCCCATGATCTGATGTACATGGTGATACCTCAGGTGTGTGACAATCGTTGTTTGCATGCATGCATTCATTATTGTGCGTGAGCACTGGGGGGGGGGGGGGGGGCAGGGGTGCTTTAACGTTTATATATTTTGACACTGTCACTTTAATTTTTTTCAAATTGCTTTTATTACTGTCACAAGCAATGTATACATCTCTTGTGGCAGTGATATGTACTCTTTATGGAGAGATCTGGGGTCATAAAGACATCAAATCCCTGTTCTGCCCTGAAAAGCATTTGATCACACCAAGATCGGTGTGATCAAATGTGTTTCATTTTTAAAAATGGTGCCATTTCCATCAGGGAAAGTGATATATGCTTCCTGTTTCCTAAATCATAGAGACAGAGTGGTGCTGGTCTTTGTCCACCTCTATGATCTGTCAGCAGAAGCGCTGGCTGGTTGTCCAGGTGTCCTGGATTGGACAGGCCCCCTCCCAGTGGATGGAACTTGGGACAGTACAAGGTTGCAGTTAACAACTGAATTATAACACAAATAAATAAAATGAAAGATATATAATCTGCACATAATAATAATCTGGTAATATCACCAACAAAAAAAAATATATATATAAAAAAAAAGTAAATAAAATAATAAATGTATATCTGCAGATAACAATCAGATTACAATAACTATAAATAGAACATAATTAAAATATCAAATTAAATGAAAATATAAATAAAAATTTATTTTATAAAAATAATTTTAATATACAAAATAATCTGCAGATAAGTCAATAATAAACAAGATAATTAAAAAAATAAAATACAAAATTAAAAATAAAATAAGGTATATAAATGAATAAAAAAACATATTCTGCAGATAACTGTATTCAGATAATGACCACAACAATAAGAATATAAATAAAAATCTAAAATTAATATATTTCTATTAAAAAAAAAAAAAAAAAAAAAAAGTCCCACCTTCCGCTGGTCCAGTTATGCCTCCCTCCCTGCCCATTAGTGGAGAATGCCGCCAGCCAGAGCCAGATGTTCTCTGTATGGCTGCTCGGTCCTGATTGTGTTCTTATAGAGAGCTGCTGGGGACATGGAGAACACCTGGCTCTGACTAGCGGCACTGTCAGCTAACGGGCAGCATGGGGGGTGGGACTGGACCAGAGCATGCCTCTGCTAAGCAGGAGGGGGGGTTCCACAGACGCCCGGACGGACTGCAGAAGTGCAGAAGGCAACAGGAGGGGATGTGCACCCCCCCCCCCCCCACACTCCCTGGAGCTGCTTGGATTGCTTTTACGAGAGCTGACCGTTGGCTATAAACCCTGCTGCTTGCCTGCACCAGGACTAAATGTATAAAAAACCTTCTTGCCTGACACCCGGAACTGCATGTTAGGGAATTTAAAAAAAAAAAAGAAAAGCAGGGTTAGGTTATAAAAAAAACAAAAAAAAACCCAAGCTTTGAACATCTCATGGAGCACTGTTCAATCCATCATCCGAAAATGGAAAGAGAGTGGCACAAATGCAGAACTACCAAGACATGGCCGTCCACCTAAACTGACAGTCCGGGAGAGCAGTAATCAGAGAAGCAGCCAAGAGGCCCCATGGTAACTCTGGAGGAGCTGCAGAGATCCACAGCTCAGGTGGGAGAATCTGTCCACAGGACAACTATTAGTTGTGCATTCCACAAATCTGGCCTTTATGGAAGAATGGCAAGAAGAAAGCCTTTGTTAAGAGAGCCATAAGAGGTCCTGTTTTTTGCTGTTTTCCCCACATAGCTTCTCACAAACTGCAAACGTGTAAGAAGGTGCTCTGGTCAGATGAGACCAAAATAACTTTTTGGCCTAAAAGCTGAATACTATGTGTGGCGGAAAACGAACAATGCACATCACTGAAATATGGTGGTGGCATCATATTGTGGGGATGCTTTTCTTCAGGGACAGGGAAGCCAGTAAGAGTTAATGGGAAGATGGATGGAGCCAAATACAGGGCAATCTTAGAAGAAAACCTGTTCAAGTCTGCAAAGGACTCAAGACTGGTCTGGAGGTTCACCTTCCAGCAGGAAAACGACCCGAAACATACAGCCAGAGCTACAATGGAATAGTTTAGATCAAAGAATATTCATGTGTTATAATGACCCAGTCAAAGTCCAGATCTGAATCCAGTTGAGAATCTGTGGAAAGAAAATTTCTGTTCAGACGCTCTCCATCCAATCTGACAGAGCTTGAGCTATTTTGCAAAGAAGAATAAGCAAAAATTTCACACTCTAGATGTGCAAAGCTGGTAGAGACATACCCTAAAAGACTTGCAGCTGGAATTGCAGTGAAAGGTGGTTCTACAAAGTATTGACTCCAGGGGGCTGAATACAAATTCACACCACACTTTTCACATATTTATTTGTAAAAAAAAATAAAACCATTTATCATTTTCCTTCCACTTCACAATTATGTGCCACTTTGTGTTGGTCTATCATATAAAATAAATTTATGTTTTTGGTTGTAACATGACAAAATGTGAAAAATTTAAAGGGGTATGAATACTTTTTCAAGGCACTGTAGGTGGGTGAATATAAATTTATGCTGATGCGTGTACACTCCTTTTTTTTTTTTTTTTTTTTTAAAGAGGAGCTCCAGTCTCCCAAAAAATTGTCAGCAGCTACTAATACTGCAGCTACTGACTTTTTAATATAAGGACACTTACCTGTCCAGGGATCCAGCGATATCCTCACCGAGCAAGTTCTTCAATCAGCTTCATAGCCAGTTCCCTACTGTGCATATGCAAGCCATGCTGAGCTTTGTGAATTGTCCCGCAGTCTTTGGGGACCTATGCTGTGTCCAACAAGGCTGCAGGGGAAGGAGGAGGGGCCATATGTCGCTGTGGTGATCTGACCGGAAGTGGGAACGGGTACCTGGTTTTGACAGGTACCCGCGCCACTCCAAAAAACTGCCAAATGTGGCAGTGGAGGGGGGGGGGGGGGGGGGGGGGTGAGGGATACAAACAAGCCTTTAGGTGAAATTATGCTTTAATGTACATTGATTCTTAGCAGCTCACAGACATTACATTCATTGCTTTATGAAGGTTTCTAAAAGCTTGGTAAAAAAAATTTAAACTGCAAAATTTGTAACCCTTTGTAGTGCATAGTTTTTCTGCAGTTGTAGCTGAATATACACTGATTAAAAAGTGTTCCTTTAATTTTTTTGAGCAGAGTATAGCATCAAGTCAGTTAAACTCCTGGGATATTGATCTGGTCAGTTAAGTAGCAGAGGGGGTTGTTAATCGGTTTCAGCTGCTTTGGTGTTAATGAAATTAACAGGTGCACTAGATGGGCAACAATGAGATGACCCCCAAAACTGGAATAGTTTTACAGGTGGAGGCCACTGACAGGTTTTTCCCCACTCCTCTTTTCTGACTGTTTTTCACTAGCTTTGCATTTGGCTATGGTCAGTGTCACTACTGGTAGCATGAGGCGATACCTGGACCCTACAGAGGTTGCACAGGCAGTCTACTCCTCCAGGATGGCACATCAATACGTGCCATTGCCAGAAGGTTTGCTGTGTCTCCCAGCACAGTCTCAAGAGCATGAAGGAGATTCCAGGAGACAGGCAGTTACTCTAGGAGAGCTGGACAGGGCCGTAGAAGGTCCTTAACCCATCAGTAGGATCGGTATCTGCTCCTTTGTGCAAGGAGAAACAGGATGAGCACTGCCAGAGCCCTACAAAATGACCTTCATCAGGCCACTGGTGTGAATGTCTCTGACAAAACAATCAGAAATCAACTTCATGAGGGTGGCCTGAGGACCCGACATCCTCTAGTGGACCCTGTGCTCACTGCCTGGCACCATAGAGCTCGATTGGCATTTGCCATTGAACACCAGAATTGGCAGGTCCACCACTGGCACCCTGTGCTTTTCACAGATGAGAGCAGGTTCACTCTAGAGCACATGTGACAGACGTGAAAGGGTCTGGAGAAGCCGTGGAGAATGTTATGGCTGTGGGATGGTGGTGGGTCAGTGATGGTCTGGGGAGGCATATACATGGAGGGATGCACAGACCTCTACAGGCTAGACCATGGCACCCTGACTGCCATTAGGTATCAAGATGAAATCCTTGGACCCATTATCAGACCCTACGCTGGTGATGTGGGTCCTGGGTTCCTCCTGGTGCACGACAATTCCTGGCCTCATGTGGCGAGAGTATGCAGGCAGTTCCTGGAGAATGAAGGAATTGATACCATTGAATGGCCCCCACACTCGCCTGACCTAAATTCAATAGAACACCTCTGGGATATCATTTTTTGGTCCATCCGACGCCGCCAGGTTGCATCTCAGATTGTCCAGGAGCTCAGTGATGTCCTAGTCTGTCGTCTCAGGAGCATGCCCTGATATTGTCAGGCATGCATACAAGCACGTGGGGCCATACAAACTGAGTACCATTTTGAATTGCAATGAAATTTCAATTTGGTTTTCATGGTGTCTTTGAATTCGGTCCTCTGTAGGTTGATAATTTTAATTTCCATTAAACGATGGGGCATCCTTACATCCCTAACACATTACCCCGTCCATATCAATATAGATACCCAGCATAATATTTTTTCCCCATTGAGACCTGTTGTGTTTTCAAAGTGTTCCTTAAATTTCTTTGAGCAGTGTATATATTGGACTGATGATTTTTTTTTTTTTTTAAGCTAGGTCTGCAAGCTTCTTCGAGTACAGTGGTTTCTCCAGAGTCAAGTGACTGTTGCAAACGTAGGAAAGAGTCCCCAGGTGGCAAAGGAAAATCCAAGCAGAAATTTCTATGGTAAGCCCAGTGATCACTTCCCACCCACAGGACATTGTACCATGTCATGGACTTTCAGTGGTTAACCTGGGGTTGATGCCTGCAGCTACAGGCATTATCCAAGTATAATGTTTATAATGCAATATGTGAAAGTGCTCTTAGCGGCTAATTAGCTGCTGGATTGGTTTTACATGCAACGGCAGTACCGTCACTTTTTGGTCCGTTTCCAAGCTCTCCCGTCCAACGGAGCTGGGACTGAAGCCGGCAGCTTACCAAAGATGGAGGACCAGAATACCCCCAATAATCTCTATGGTATAAGAAATCTGTAGCAACAAGTCTTGTGTAAGAATCCGATCAAACCAGTCTTGATTTGATCAGATTCTTCTAAAGGCAGAGTAGACATCTGGGGTCTAATAAACCCCAGATGTCTCAGTAAAGAGGACCTCTAACTGCTCCAGCTATCATTTAATCATACAGATGGTGTTTTTCCACTTCTCTGAATCCATTAGACTCCAAGGACCATAGATAGAATGCAATCATCCACAGGTTATATGGGTAATATTCCTACACTTCTCTGAACCTGCAAAGCTTGAGTTCCTAGATCTGCACACCTGCTTCTCTCTAGAGAATCCCACTTCCCCCATGATTTTGTTGTTTTTTATTTTATGTAAAATGCAACAGAAGAAGAAAGAACTTTCACAATTGCAAAGGTGGTTGGAACAGGGCCAGAATCTATAGAAGCCAGACCCTTCCATAGTGTGAAATATCTATGTGTTTGTGTAACAACAGGGATGTGCAATTCCTAACGCCCAACGCCCAGGACATGTAGTGCTGGGTAGGTATTTTTTTTTTTTGGCCTTTTAGCCCTGCTGTGGGCAAGCAGCGGGCTCACCTGTCAGGTGAAGCAATCGGCGGCAGCGCTGCCCCTGATTGCTTTCACACAGTGCCAGCCTCTCTGCGTCCCCGGCTTGAGGTTTTCTGGGCTGCACTTGCCCATCTGCGGGCCTGACTCTCCGTCGGCTAGAGAGGAGGGAGAAGCCCACACTGTCAGCCTCTTTACCACTATATGTCCCGGGCTCCGCTTGCCCATCTACGGGCCCAAGACTGGTTCAGTGGGTGCTGCGGGATGTGGTATAGGGGAGCTTCCCTCCCCTTCTGACCCGGAGATGATGGGACGTCACTTCCAGGTCCCCGTTCGACAGATTCCCGGTCATTGAGGCCAGGAAAGAATGTAATGTGGTGCGATGTGCACCGCATTACATTAAGTGCAGTACAGGGGAGACATGCATTCATGTCTCAAATAAGAGAACCTGTCACCAAAAATCATCACATAGGGGACTTTGTCCCGTATGTGGTTTTTTTTTAAAAAAAAAAATTTAATTTATTTTTTTTTTTAATGGAAGTCACACTCAAGCATATAACACCCCCAAATTTTTCAAGGCCCCCCACATATGTACACATGCACAAACGTAAAAGCACATGCTTGGGCACCTACACTACACATGAAAACGTGGATTGCAATACACATGTTACATATCGCCGCGCATGCCAGAATGAGAGCTATAATTCTAGCACCAGACCTCCTCTGTAACACTATACTAATGACCTATAAGGGGCTTTAAAAGTGTTGCCTGTAGAAAATATAGGGTACTAAAGTTTGTTGCCGTTTCACAAGGGCATGCAAATTTAAGGTTTGACATGTTGGATATCTATTTACTCGCTGCAACCTCGTCTTTTTATATTTTACAAAAAAATTGGATAACTTATTGCTTTTTGTGCCCTAAAATTAAGTGTATTTTTTTTACTGAAACCTTTGTGATTAATTTCGTGTGACATAAAAAATGGGAACTACCGCTATTTTGTTCTCTAGGATCTCTGATTTCAGAAAATATTTCATGATTTGGGGGTTTGTGTAATCTTAAGGCCTAAAACAAATTTTTTTAAACGTGTGCGAATAACGCGAAAACAGCTCTGGCAGTGAAATGGATAAAGGATAAGTTGGACACTCCCCTTTCCTGACGAGCAGCCAATCGGTGCTCATTACACTGCAAGGTCTCTCCTCTCCCTGCTAGACCCCGGGGGGCGGGGCTGGAGGCAGGGAGGGGGGGGAGGAGATAAACAGTGCAATGTTAAAAATATTAAACATTTAAGTCGCCATAAAGCCCCTTTTGTTTTTAAAAGCCCCAGACATTACTTTAAGGGCTCGTTCACACTTGACTTTATTTTTAACTCTTGCCAAACGCCCCTATAGCGCTTGACAGGCGTTTTGTGAAGCGTGTTTACCGCTGCTCCAAAAACTCCCTTTGCACGGTTTTGCGGCGGTTGGTAGGCGTTTGCCAAGCGTTAAAAATGCACCACAAACGCCTATAATGAAGTTTAAATAGTGTTAACGCTCCGCAAAAATGTCGCAACCGCAAAGCGTTTGCGGAGCGGCACCATAGACTTGAATGGGAGGCTTCAACTCTTCGTGACTCGACCAGAGACGTCCATTTTGCCGCGACGCTAACGCTTCCGTGTGAACAGCACTGTGTGCTGCAATGTGGGAAGCGTTTTTAACGCTTTCCAAACGCCTCTGAAAATTCTGCAAACACCTGTCTGCTGCCTGCTGACAGAGCTAGTGTGAACGTAGCCTTAAGCAGATTTAAATACAGTTTTGGTTAAATTTGTTTTTAATCAGGACAAGTATATTGTCATTTGGGACACTGATTTAGTCCCTGGACAAGTAGTTTTTCTCAATTTCCACACCCCTGAATAACACAGATGCAGCCACTGGAGGGAGCTGGTGTCTGCACAGAATTCTAAGAAATCCTGTCTGCTGTGTATAACTTGGGGTGTGAATACTTCTATTCCTACCATTTAGCTGATGAAAATCTCAATACTGGCAGTAAATTAGTGACATATTTTACAGTTTTTAGTGTAAAATTCAGCTCCCTGATCTCCTGCATTATGTCTCTAATCCTCATGTGTCTCTGTCTTCTATTTTATCGAAATTCCAACGGTACAGAGAGTTTAGCAATTTCAAGGTCAACCTGACGAAGTCTGAGATTCCTAATGTTTCTATGTCACCTCTTCGGCTACGAGAGCTGGGGGATAACTTTCCTTTCAAGCTTTGCTCTGGCTCTCTAATACCTGGGTATTAAAATTCCTACTAATCATTCACATATTTTCTGAAAATTCTACTCCTCTACTTCAACACACATTACAGGATCTCCAGAATTGGTTCGGCCGGATCAATATATTGAAAATGGATGTTCCCCCCCCCCGCTTTCTTTATTTGGTCCAGACTCTGCCTATTGCCATCCCTTGGCCCTTTTTCAGCAGGTTGCAAACTGCTTTTCTGAAGTTTATTTGGGGTCCTCGGAAGCTGCATCTTCTACCATATGCCTCTAAGTGGGCTGGGGCCCTTGATACCCAGATCTCGGATGAGGACTGGCTGAAATCCTTTACTCTTACCCACCGTTTGTCTCTGACCAGCAAAGCGCAGGAGACCAATTTCAAGTTGCTCACTTGGTGGTATAGATGTCCTACCCTACTCCACAGGATTTTCCCTTCCACCTCTGATCTCTGTTGGCGCTGTCTGGCTGCCCCCGGCTCTCTTCTCCATGTCTGGTGGGAAGGCCCCCTATTCATGCATTTTGGGATCTTGTTTTCCGAGTCTATTCTGCAGTTATGGACCAGATGGTATCCAATACGCCTCAAGTTGTTCTGCTTTCTATCTTGTAAGGCTCTTTCAAAAGTATCAAACGCGTATCAAAGGCTGGTTATACTTTGCCATTGGAGACTTAGCTCTGTCCCGACCCTTCTGGAATGGGTTGAGGAGATGGATCATATTGAACGTAGGAGTTGCTCTTGGCTCTGGAATTGGGCACTTCTGAATGCTGTCGTCAGACCTGGCTCTCCTGGAATATGTATAGGGAGTCCTCTGCACTCCAGGCTCTCTTGGCTGCTTGAACGAGTTATCTTTTTTTCTCCCCTTCCGGTCCTTACAGGTTTGTTGTCCCACTGGGCGCCTTTCCTCAGGCGGGTCTATTCTTCTCTTTCTTTTTCTTCCTCTTCCCTTCCTTCCCTCCCTTTTTTTTTTTTTTTCGTTTTCTCTTCTCCTTTCCTGGGCGCTGGTTTGCTGGAGGGATGGGGGAAGGGGGGGGGGGGGTGGACCACTGACGGGGCGGTGTCTTTGTACCCTTTGGGGGCCTGTCCATATTGTTTAACCAGGCTACCTGCAATGTGCCTTAGATTTTGTTATGGACGATACTTAGCACCAGCTTATTTCAGTTTTTGATTGCTTTTTGCCCTACTTGCCTGTCTTATTTTCTTCCCCTTCCCTTATTCTGTATTGTATTATTTTTTTTTTTTTTTTTTTTTTTGTGTTTTCTGTTTGTCTAGTTTTATATCCCTCCAATGTTATTGTTTGTGTGAATGCTTTTTTTTCTGTATTGTTTACAAAACTTTAATAAATTCAGATTGATCATAAAATTCAGCTCCCAAAGGCTGTGACTTTCTGTATAAAGCTCAAGTCTTCTCAGCATTGTGTATGAAGTAAAACATTTTTGTTTTGATTTCAGGACTGGAATGGAAGGGATGGAGGTTTCAAGCTCTGACAGTGACGTAGAGTCACCCAGCACATCGGCATCTTGTCACAGTGCAGAGCAGAGACTGCACAGCTCTGAGAGTGATTCTGATGATCAGGCACAGTGTTCCTCATCCCCCTTGATATTCACAAAGCCGAGCAACCACATCAATCTTGATGAAGAGGCCACAGGCCATGAACAGTTAGCTTCTGATTCTGACCAGACAGAAATTGTTGAAGAGGCTGCAGACAATGGACAATTAGTCTCTAACCATGGCCAGACAGAACTTTTCGAAGAGGCCATAGACAAAGGCAGCCAGTCTCTGAACCGAGCCAGACAGAACTTTCAGAGGCTCTGCCAGAACTTGAGAAACCAACCTTCACCCCTAACCCACCAAAGGAGTCTTTTGGCATGGTAAGTAAACGCGTGATAGTGCTGGAAGTTTTCTTCAGTACTATTAGTGAGAAACAAACTGGTAGAGAACAATTACCTTCCCAGCAAAGTTTTGCGTTTAAATGCTTAGAGTTCCACTTTAAAGTGAACCTGCCACTTGTGGGACCCTTGGGGAAAACGTCATTAAACTTGGACATGTACCTTACCATCAGGAAGTTGAACAAGTGACTGCTTAGATACATTATAGGCTATAATTTCATAATGTATAGGGGACATTTCTGAAGATGTTGAAATGTTTGTATTGCACTGTGGGATAAACTGGTTGCTCCTAAGATAACTTGAAGCTGACAGTAAACTGAACATGCTGGGTGTTAGGAATACTTAGGCTTGCAGGAGATAGTAATAAACTGAGGTCACCAGGAGGAACCGGCAAGAGCTGTGGGGGGGACCCAGGAGATTGCCACCCCCGCGAAGTGTTGATTTCCCAACGGATGTTTCCGGACCATTTGTCAGAGTGTTGTATAGCAGTGCATGCAGAAAGTAGGCATTTACAATGTTTCACAGGTGTGTGTTTGTAATTTTACAATATCAACACAGTCAATGCTATACAATAAAAAAAAAAAAAAAAAAAAAAAGGTTCACAATAGCGACCTGGAATAAGTACACAGCAAATAACATCAGACTTGTGTCATTCGTTTGTCCCAAGTCAGTAACTTAAAAGAAAGTGAAGCAGGATGGCAGCATCAGAGCCTGCACAGGTAAAAAGCATACTCCCATGTTTCAGACTGCACAGGATTCTTTCATTAAGTCTTTCTCATAATATTTTCTATAGGGTATCATGCCTCTCATCTCTAGAGCATTGAATCTCGAATTAAGGGAAGGCGGGAACGTGTCCAAAAAACAGAACGCAGTACACAATTTGGTTTCACAGAATTTACTCAACCTTAGGGAGTCTAAGCCGGTTACTGTTTCATGTTTGTAATTATAGCCTGACAGATCCACTCTGGAGACAGAGAATATGTTAATGTTACTTGACAGTAATTTTCCTTTTTTTTTTTTTTTTTTTCTTTTCTTTTAGGCCGCCTTTGACCTCATGTCATTCTCCTCTGCTGTGCAGCTGGAGGCTCTGGGTTTTGACAAGTTGAAAACGGAACTGATGGCTCTGGGTCTGAAGTGCGGCGGGACATTACAAGAGCGTGCAGCCAGACTCTTCTCGGTGCGTGCACTTTCCAAAGATCAGATAGACCCGGCTCTCTTTGCCAAACCAACCAAAGCAAAGAAAAAATAAAGCATTAAGGAGGTCTCTGTGATTTGGGCTGAAGAAAGCTGGGGACAATGGGACACAGATTTGTTGCCACAGCAGGAGGTGGTGCACCTGGGCTTACAGGGCTTCAGGAACCAGTCATTGTTGTGGTCAGCAAGTCATTATGTATGAACAAAGTCATTATCTACATTTGTTTTAAATAAACTTTGTACATTTTCATTTACATAGTTTTGGCAATTTTTTTTCTAATTTTATTTGGGGCAAGGGAATCTGTCCCTGTATGGCTCTCCTAGTTCATGAATTGGTATATAGAGAGGACCTTTCATTAATTTAGAGTAACTCCACTTTTGTTGGAAGGAAAAAAAAAAAAAAAATTGCATCTGCATGATCAATGTACATTGCAAAGATTTTAACCTTTTTTTTTGCAGATTCCTATCTGCTTTAGAAATAGCTGTTTGTTTGACTATGTCTTATGCAGATTGATTCTGAATAGGAGTGATTATAATCACCTGCTGCACTCTGTTTTGATGAGAAAAGTTGCAGTGTCTGCCTCCCTTTAGAAGTAACTAACCCTCAGGGAGCCTCTCCCCAAATACAACATTTTCGTTGCAGAGGATGACTAAAATCTAACTTGCATCTCGGTGCACAGCTCTGGGAAAATCAATGAGCCAATCACACAAGCAAGAAATTACATTTTTGGAGGAGTGTTTGTACACCAATGTAATACAGCATGTCTCCAGTTTTCCATATTGCATTGAATTTTGACACTGAACTACAATATAGTTTATGTATAGCAGTTGTATATGCTGTGTATATTTTTTTCCACAAAGTGAGTTACCATTTCTTTCCTTCCTCTTCCTCCTATTTATTTTTTCCGTAGTGCCACTTTAAACTTGTGAAACGTTAATGTCCTAAGAAGCACCACAGTATCTCTAATAAATTTATATTTGATTTAGTTCAAATTTTCAATGTATTTAAGTGCAGTATACTATACATCTTTCAGTTTCATTTTTTTAGGCAGGAACATGCAACAACTGCAGGGAAATGGAGTATAGTGACTTGCGTTAGAAACGTGCAATGGGTGCACAACAGGCATGCTGTAATCCATGTTAAAAAATGCACAACTGTTTTCACAATGCAAAGTGTGAATTTAGCCTTACAGGGTAATGTGCTCAGTGACTAGAAGGTGACAATGCAGATTTATTTTGTGGAGGTTTCTGTTAATTACTTAATCATCACTGATTTGGATTAAGTAGCAGAAAGTGATACATTTCTCAGTTTCTTGTTTGTTGCTGTTCATTACCTACACTGTGCAAACACTCAGCTGCAATCCTATTTTACCTGTATATCATCACAGAGGAGCTGACAAGTTCCTAATACAGATAAACAGACATCAGGGGGTTATTAGCAGTCTGTGCTTTGGGCTTTGTCTCATTAGGATTACCAGGGCTTGTTGATGATGCTGGCTGTTCGAATTCTGATGGCTATATGTCTGGTTGCTACATTATCCTAAGCATTGCTAAGGCTGGCCATAGACGGGTTGTTTATCGGCCGAATTTTTACGAATAAACGAAAAATCGGTTGTTGCTGGCAGCGATGCTGCTACCAATGTCCACGAAAAACGGCTGGTTTTCGTGGATTTTCCAGCATGACCGATAAAAGTAAACGAGAAGATCCGCGAAAAACGGCCGACGGGCTGACCCCAATAACGGCGTGAATATCAGCCAATTTTTTTCATGTGGACAAAAATTCGGCCAATATACGACCAGTCTATGGCTTGCATAACAGTCATAAGATTGTGTAAAGCTAGCCATAGATAGTCTGTACCGACCAAGATTCTAAATGCCTATGGGCATGCTGATTGTATCCAATTTGTTGTACGTCTTTGGTACAACCAGTCTGTCATGCGATTATTGCCAGTAGCTATAGCAGCTAGCAATGTTAACTGTGTTCTTCTAGCAGGGATGGCTCCCCCCCCATAGCAGAACACAATAGGCTCAACAGGAAGGATTTCCCTATCAACACTGACTGTTCATGGAAATCCGTGGTTGCAGAAAAGAAAACCGCAACATCTATGGCCGGGTTGATAGTTAAAGTGTATCTGTAATCTTTAAAGTATGTTAAAGTGATGCCCTTTAACTCTAGGTTCACATCTGTGTGGGTGGTGCCGCTGCGGGGCTGCACGAAAAACCGTGCTGCCACACCACCTGCACAGAGAAATGCGGACCCACGGACGGGTGCCATTAGTTCTAATGGCACGCCGCCCGCACTGGAAAATGCAACTGTAGTGGGAACCGAGGTTCCCGTGCAGGCTGCGTTTTCCAAAGAAGTGCAGGGACTTCTTCCCTACGTGGCACTGGAGTCTATTCAAATGAATGGGCTATCGTGACCGTGCAAAACGCGGGCCGCATACATGTGAACTGGGGGTAAGTTTGACATGGAAGTATCTTCCATTAGTCTTGTACTGTGTTGGCCATTAATTGATGCAAAAAGTTTGCAGGAGTTTGCTCGTTTCTAGTGCTGGAGTTCGGATGCTAGAAATTTCAGATTACAAAATTTCACTGTGTGTTATACACTTTTCACACTTATATTTCATGCTTTCAGCACACCTACTGATCCTGCAGACTGGAATCATGCTTCCTTATGCTTGTAGAGTCTGTTCTGTCATCAGAGTCCTCTTCAGCTCACTGGGAGTGGCTAGTTCCTTTTCTGTTTTGGCTGAAGTTTTCACTAGTCAGAAAATAATTTTTGGACCAATCACTTCGGTATTTGCTAGATCGAACCGCAGAGCCCACAGGCTGCTTCTGAACATTCCCCTGCAGAGTCTGTATCTGATTTATGTGTAGCCTTAGTGGCTTCTGAGTTGGGCCAGGCTTTGCCAGATGAGCTTATCCTGGAGGATTCACAATCTTCTGCTATTGCTCACCATTTAAAAAAAACAGTTTTGGCTCTTATCGATGAGGTGCACACCACTCTAAATGTTTAGGATCAGCCTGTTGCTTCTACCAGTGCAGTTTTCAGTTTTGGGCAACTCTAAGACTGTGACAATGGTCCTTTTGCACCTGCTGTTGCAACTCTTCCTCTGTAGATATTAGAAATGCCCTGACACACTGTTCCCCCAGCCCCTGTGCCCATTGGGGGACGTTTTTAACAAAAGTATGCTATGTCTACAGTTGATCTAACAGTGTCCCACCTTATCCTGCCTTAACATGGGAGGACATGGCAACAGTCTTTAAGGACCCAGATAATAAGTGGGTGTAAGCCATTTTTAGAACACCTCTTGTTGACAGGTCCTACTCTTATCACACTCTTTATTGCCTGGGACTTTATCTGCCAGACTGCTGAAAATCCCTGAAAAGGAATCTTATCACAATTCATCCCTCACATATAGAACGCATAGAGCAAGTGGCTGTAGCTTTCAACTTGGTTTGCTGTAGGCTTTCTGGCTTATTCCCCCATGGCTCTCTGGTTAGTACACATACCTAAGGCTGGCCATAGACGGATCGTTTATCGGATGAATTTTCGTCCGCTAAACTAAATATCGGTCGTTGCTGGCAGCGGTGCTACCACCAATGTCCACGAAAAATGGCCGTTTTTCGTGGATTTTCCAGCATGACCAATAAAAGTAAACGAAAAGATCCAAAAAAACGGCTGATGGGCTGACCCCACTAACGGCGTGAATATCGGCCTATTTTTCGTGCGGAAGAAAATTCAGTCGATATACGACCCGTCTATGGCCTGCATGAAGTCACAAGGATGTAACACACAGGAGTCCAAAAGAGTCTGACTTTCCACTTTAGAAAGTCTTAGGCCTGATGGTAGCCTCCTTGAGACAGTCCTATTTGCCCAGTTTCACTCCTGACCTCTACAAGACAACATCCTGTCAATATGGAAAAAGAACAATCTAAATACTAAGTTACTTCCCACAAGGTCTTTCATTGGGCAGGGGAGGCATACTTCACTTGGTGAGTCTTAGGGCTCTCACCCTAGAAGATGAATCCTCTCCTTCCCTGTAGCTGGGTCTGGCTCTCAGCACTAATAAAGGTCAGGCTTCTGTCCTTTCTATCTTGTTTCAGAGACCGTTGGCCTTTCAGGCCTTGACTCTATGTAGCTCCCCGTTTGTTACACTGCAAGTCTGTGGGATCTGAGTCTGGTTCATGCTGCACTTTTGAAATTACTGTTTGAGCCCACTAAAGACCCCTCTCTACTGTCAATTACAAGCGGTTATTCCGTGTAGCCATCTCCTCTGCAAGATGAGTGTTTGGTGGCCCTGTCCTGCAAAGAATCTTTTCTGGCTTTGCATATGAACAAAGTGGTGTAAAGGCCCAGGACTTCTTTTTTGCCTAAGATAATTGCCTTTCAACTCAACCAGGACTTTGTTCTTTCTTCCCTCTCCCTGGCTCCAGTTCACCAAAACAAAATTTCCCTTTCATTGTTTGGATGTGGTTCAGGTTGTGAGTCTGTTTCTTTCAGAAAGAATGATTCCCTTTTAAGGCATCCTAGATGGTAAGGTTGTCCCAGCTTCTGGTTCCAATATTTCCAGGTGGTTGAGACAGGCCATCATTCAGGTTTATGGTCTCAATTTTCTATTTCTGTCAAGGCACACACTTTTAGATGTGAGTACTTATTGTACTTTTTAGGGTTAAGCAACTGTTTTACAAATTTGCATGGTGCCAGATGGTCTTCTATTCCTGCATTCTCTAAGTTCTATTGGGTAAATGTTGCAGCCTCATCTGAATCCATCAGTTATAAGATCCTTCAGGTGGCTTTTTGAGCTGCAAGCAGTCCCTAGTTTTCTTGGCCCTGATATTTGTGTGTTGCCTTCCTCCTCAATTGGACTGCTTTGGAGATCCCAAAGGCAAAAGCTTCCTGTGTCTTTCAGTTGAAGAGAGCAAATTTGGGGTATCTTAATCGTACAGCTCAAGACACAGGCTGGATATTCCTATACCTGGGGTTATAATAAGGCTGTTACCAACTGTATAAATGGTATGGGGGGGGGGGGGGGGGTAGATGGAGCGGAGGGC